GAGCAATGGAATTGAATCAGTAATTTAAAAAAAAAAAATTCTTTCAACAAAAAAAGGCCAGGACCAGAAGGGTTCCCACACAAACTTTACCAGACATACAAAGAACTATTACCAATTATACTGAAACTATTCATAAAAATTGAAGAGGAGTCCTTCCTTAATTCATTCTGTAAAACCAGTATCACCAATACTAAATCAAATCAAGCAAGGACAATAAAATAAAATAAAAAAAACCACAGGCCAATATCCCTGATGAACAGAGATGCAAAACTTTTCAACAAAGTACTAGGTGAGCAGAATCCAATAGCATATCAAAAAGATAATCCATTACAATCAATAGGGCCTTACTACAGGGATGCAAGGATGGTTCAATAGCCACAAATTAATAGCTGTGATTCACCATATAGAATAAAAAATAAGAACCATAACTTATTAGATGCAGAAGTATTTAATAAAATCCAATATCCCTTTATGATAAAAACCCTCAACAAACTAGGCATCAAAGGAATATATCTCAAAATAATAAGACCAAATATCATAAACCCACAGCCATATTTAATGAGGAAAAGTTGAAAACATTCCTCCCAGAACTGGATCAGCAATGTCCACTCTCACTACTATTTAACATTGTACTGGAAGTCCTAGCCAGAGGAATCAGACATAACAGGCATCCAGATTGACAAAGAGGAAATCAAACTACTTCTGTTCACTGATGACATAACTGTATACCTAAGAAACCCTAAGGACTCCTCTGAGACTCCCAGACTTGATAAATAACTTCAGTAAAGTTTCAGGATACAAAAATAAATGTACAAAAACCAGTAGCATTTCTATACACCAATAATGCTCAAGCAGAGAACAAAATCAAGAACACAATCCCATTTACAATAGTCACAAATTACCAAAAACAAACAAAACGAAAACCTAGAAATACATTCTATCAAAAAGGTGAAAGATATCTACAAAGAGAACTACAAAACACTGATTAAATAAATTGTAAATTACACAAATAGAAGAAAATCCTACGCTCATGTATTAGAAGAATCAATATTCTTAAAATGACTATACTGATCAAAGCAATCTACAGATTCAAGCAATTCCAATCAAATTATCATCATTTTTTACAGAACTAGAAAAATTGTCCTAAAGTTCATATGGAGTCAAGAAAAGTGCCCAAAAAGACAAAGTAATCCTAAGTAAAAAGAACATATTCAGAGGCATACTACTGCCTGACTTCAAATTATACTACAAGGCATGATAACTAAAACAGCATGATACTGGTACAAAAAGAGACAGATTAATGGAACAGAATAGAGAACCCCAAAGTAAATCCACATGCTTACAAACAACTGATTTTGGACAAAATAGACAAAAAATAAACAATGAGGAATAGACACCCTATCCCTATTCAGTAAATGGTGCAAGAGCACTGTCAAGACATATGCAGAAAAATGAAACTAGATCCCTGTCTCTAGCCATATACAAAAATTAACTCAAGATGGATTAAAGACTTAAATGTAAGAGCTGAAACTACAAAAATTCTAGAAGCAAGCCTAGGAAAAATTCTTCAGGACATCAGCCAAGGCAAATTATTTATGATGAAGACCCCAAAAGCATATGCAACAAAAACAAAAATAGACAAATGGGACCTAATTCTGCAAAGCAAAATAAATAGTAAAGTGATCACAAAACCTACAGAATGGGAGGATATTTGAAGATTATGCCTCTGACAAAAGTCTAACATCCAGAATCTACAAGGATCTTAAACAACTCATGAACCACCACCACCACCACCAAATAACTCCAAAAAGAGTGGGGAGGAGAAATAGACACATCTCAAAAGAAGATAGACAAGTGACAAACAAATGTATGAAAAAATGCTCTACAGCACTAATCATCAGAGAAGGGCAAATTAAAACCACAATGAGGTATCATACCAGTCAGAATGGCAGTCAATGAAAAGTCAAAGAACAACAGATGTTGGCATGGATGCAGAGAAAAGAGAATGGACACACACTGTTGGTGGGAACGTAAACTAGTTTAAGCTCTATGGAAAACAGTGTGGAGATTTTTCAAAGAACTAAAAACAGACCTACCATTCAACCTAGCAATCCCACTATTGGGTATCTACCCAAAGGAAAATAGACTATCACATATTTTTTAAAAATCTCTCTATATATGTGTGTGTATATATGTATACATAGACACATATACATATCTGCACTTGTATGTTCATCATAGTACCAACATAGCTGCCCACCAACAGTTGATTGAATAAAAAGAATGTGGTATATATTCCACCATGGAATACTATGCAGCCATGAAAAAGAATAACGAAGTAATTCAGAAACAGAAAACCAAACCTTATGTTCTCATTTATATGTGCAAGCTAAGCAATGGGTACCCTGGACATAAAGATCGAAATAATAGACACTGGGGACACCCAAAGGGGGGAAGGAAAAAGGGGGAGCAAGGGGTTAAAAACGACGTATCAAGCTGGGCTCAGTGGTTCAGTCTGTAATCCCGCGCTTTGGGAGGCTGAGATGAGTGGATTGCCTAAGCCCGCGGGTTCGAGACCCGCCTGGGCAACTTGGCGAGACCTCATCTCTACAGTAAATCAAAAAATAAGCCGGGCGTGGTAGCGCG